AAGCAGATGTGACTTACAGCTCCCTTATTATTCGCACAAATACACCAGCAGTTTAAAAACACTGACTGTGTTTGCAGAATCAATGGGTGCTTTGCTGGGAGTTTGTCCAGTTCATCACAATAAAACTGAAGTGCCTGAGCGCGGCCCCGAGCCACAGAAGAATTGTACCTCTGTGTGCTATTTGCATGCCCCCACCACGGCACTTTTGGAGCCACACGATTAGTTTGAAGGCTGTCCAACAACCCACTGAGCCAGCCCTTACCAAAGCCTTGTGATGCTTCTGTTAGCTGCTCTGCTTGTAACCTCTGTTTCAGTCTAGAGAAAAAGCTTTAAAGCTTGCTTAAATAAACTGATTTAGGGCACAAGCTTCCATTGGATGCCAGAGTTCTCTGTGGTTCTGGTCCTGGAGGTACTGTGGTCACGTCTCAAGTCTGCAGTATTTGCTTTGGAAAATATGGTAGGGCTACCTGAAGTCTTGTGGAGAGTATATGCCCTGTGAGCTAGCTGAACTTTCCCTTCGTGTCTATGAGCTTGAATTCACCAAACATTCCAAACACACCAAATTTTCTTCACGACCTTTCAAGCACAGCTTACTCTGCTTCTTCAGTGCTCGAGGAAGCGGAGTGCTGAAGAAGGAGACCTTCTTTTCCTTCAGGAAAAGCGGAGATCTGCACTTACCTGCTCAGCACAGTCAGCGTGCTCCGCTGTGCAGAAGAGATGCTGATACCGGAGATGTGATCCAGGTTAGGCTGAGGTAAGCAGAGAAACTAAAAACACCTTACAGAAAGCGCTGCATAATCTCGTGCTTACAGCCCTGTCCTGGGATGGTGACCCAGCTGGTTTCCTTACAAACGGAGGCTGTGTGTGCACAGCAGCTGCTCCGCAGAGCGGGTCGGGCAGGGACTCGCTCAGGCACAGCAGTGCGTGCTGATGCTGTTCTCTTTTTTATCACAGTGTTGTTGTTTCAGCCTCCAAAATCTCTGGCAGACGTGACCACCTCACGTCACATCTTTAGGCCTTTCCACACAAAAGTTACAGTAGAAGCCATAACCTTTTCAGGGGAAAATCATTCCTGGTCCAAGCAGAGGGCCCTGGAGCGGCGGCTCAGCCATTGCTGGCCGTGTGTCAGCTGATGCTCTGGGCAGGTTCCCATTCCTCCTGCCTGACTGCCACAGAAGAATGAGACAGTGGGCAGCCTTGTGCCTGGGGAAGACATTGCTCTGCAGCAGACTCAATTCTTGGGCAGATTTGGACGTCCTACCTTTCTGTAGGCTTTCCTTTTCCAACATGAGTTTAGAACAACATGTTCCTAAAGCAGCTGACGTGCTGCTTTACCATTTCTTTTGTTTTGCTTGGGATTACTTCCATATTTAAGTAAACACTAAGACAGTCCAATTCTGGGCAACAGGACACATGATCCAGAACCATGCAGTGAACTGGCACAGAAGATACTGGAAGAATTTGGCCAGCAATGAGCTGTGAAAAAAAAAAAACAGAATGGGAAAACATTTTGCAAACAGCCTTCAAAGAGAGCTGTACAACATGGAGAGATGGAACAGCAAAAGGTGGAGAGGATGAGGCAACGTGGGAATGTTGTGGGATGGGAACATGTGGAGCAGTCGTCTTCAGAACAGCTGATCAGTGAAGGGAAGATTCATTCATTCCATACACCATTTCCTTTTTGTGACATCGTTCCCCAAAACCTCAGTCATGCTAGGTTGGCTCATTCACTCTAACAAAGATGATGACAAGAGTAAAAAAGTCAGAAGAAAAATTGAGAAACAAAATAAGAGCATCAGGTGATGCGCACTGCTGGAGGGCGGGTTTGAAATGTGTCTGTGCATGTTTGACTCCATAGGACTGGTTTTGCCAAGGATGCAGTCTGTCAGTAATGCTGAAACATGTAATAAACTGAGTAGTGTTTGGTTCCAGGGCCTTCTACTCGGCTTGAATGGTATCTTTCCTTGAAGAAGGTCGCAGAACCAAAATTCGGAGCAGAGATTTGGCACTGGCGCATTGAACTACTGTTCAGGAGAGCTGGCTCATGCTCCGCTCTACTGCAGCTGTCCACACACCCTGCAGAGCTCACCCAGCCCTGCACCCTGCAGGCTCAGCTGTGCCCCCACCGCCCGCTGCGTCAGTCTGCATCCCCGGCAGTGCGAAGCTCCCCGTGGGCACGGCAGGGAGCAGACATCACAGCGCTGGACGTGGCCTGAGTGCTGAGTGTTACCCGTGCTTCAGGGAGGAGAGAACCCGTACAAACTGGAGTTGTAGAATGCTGCCTTTCCTCCTTCCTCGTGCAAATTGTCATGTCGCATACAGCAGGATATGAACTGGGAGGGAAAAAACAACAGCAACAACTGAAGTTGTATTCTACGTTTGGTTTGTGTAATTTGCTTTGAAAGCCCATCTCAAAGCACTTTCTTCGTTCCTCTCCCCAGCGCTACTGTGTTTACACTCAACCACAATTTCTTGCCAAAATAGAGTTTCAGTTAACAAAAAGCTCCCTTGATTCTCCCCAGTAATGAATTCCATCTAAAAAAATGGATTTGCCAGCAAAACAGAAAGAGCAGCATGGGTTTGTAGAACCATTGTACTTCCTGCAAGGCAGCCCAGTTAAATCACAGCCACACTATAATGGAAAATATTCCACATGTACTTCAGCAACCTTAAGGAAGGAGAATTTTGTGGGTTGCTGTAATCTAATACTGTGTTTCTCAGAAGCAGAGTAAGAGTTGGGCTCTAATTACAATGCACATAGTGTGTCCATAAATGAATACCCTTTTCTTAAAGCTTTTAAAGTATGTCGTGTATTTTACATACATGCATTCAATTTTAATGCAGTTTTTCAAGTATGTGTTTTTGGATAACGCTCTCAGAAGAAACCTCAGTCCCTCTTCTGCCACAAGTGATGGAGACATACCAATCATTTGTACATCTTCACATCACGTTTACACAAAGAACAGCATCAGAGCGCGTTGCTCTGGAAGTGCTGATCTCAGTAATCCAGAAGAACAAAACAGCTCGTGAGAGGAATTCAGCCCTTCAGAGAGGAATTAAGCTGTAGTGGGATGTTAATTGTAACCCTGCAACCCTTTCCTTATCAGTCAGAGAAGCAGCATTCGGCGGATGGGGCAGGGCAGTCCCACGTTCCTCCTGGCCATGAAGGTAACAGCAGAGAACAGCAGAGCGGTGCTCAGCCGAGCTGTGCTGCCACTGCAGAAAATCCACACAGCAGTGGTGAGACGTGATGAGGAGTCTCTCAGGCAGATCTACTATGAACTTACACAGAGCACTGAGCATTTGTCTGTGAGAAAGCAGCAGCTGCCTGTAGTGGGTAGGAGCCCATCTGGAGCGTGTGACTTCTGCTGCAGGTAGCATAGGTGTTCCTTGGACAAATATTTTGGTAGAAGTTTAGCAACTGTATCGAACACAACCACCAATAATCCTTTTCAGGCAGATAATAGCAATACTTCTGCAGGAGGTCTATGTGACACGGTTAAGGTACTTGTTTTCTGACTCCTCACTAATTTGGGCAGAGTCCAAACGCGTGATGCAGTGTCTGAGAGGTGGCTGAAACAGCCATGTGTCACCCGGAGCACCAAAACTCAGCAGCTGTTTGCTCTGCAAAGACAGAAATGATGTCGTGGTGGAGCAGATGAGACACCAGCTGCGTGCTGCACGTCCCACCCACTGACCTCAGTGTAAAGGGACTGAAAAGCTGAACAGAGCCAAGGCGCCAAGGGGCTTTAGGCTGTACCGGGGCAAACTGAGGGCTGGGGGAGAACCTCTGATCTGGTGGTCTTGCTGGTAGAAGCAATGGCATTGGCAGATACCAACATTGAGTAAGACACTTAGAAAGGAGAAAGAGGACACGGGCCCCGCAGTGGCACCCTGAGATGGGTTTCCTCAAAGATCCCAGCTCCTAATTCTGTGCCAGAAACTTCCTTTGGATCAGAAGGCTCACATTTAACTTCACGTAACACTGACTGCATACAGACATAATCATTTAGCAATAATTAAGGCACCTTTTAAAATGCACTAGTAAGGTCTCACAGCTTTCGAGCCACGCGGCGATGCCCTAACCTCCCCTAACAGCCTTTGCACAGAAGCATGCCGCCGATTAAGCTTACCGATGTTACAAACACCATCCAGCAAAACATGAGGAGCTGAAGCACTGGCGGAGGAAGATCACTCCTCGAGGCAGCTGGGAGTTTGCAGTGTCACCGGCGGCTGCCGGGGGGGAAACCACGGGAGAGCGTTCGCTCCCTGATGCCAAATCTCGGCGGTGCCGTTCCTTCCTTGCCTCGGGGGAACGCTCCAGCCGAGCCGCGGGGGTCCGCGAGCCCCGGAGCGCCCGGAGCCGCGCAGAGCCGAGCCCGGAGCCACGACCCCCGCCTGCCAGCAGGAGGAGGAGGCAGCGGGCCGGGTTGGGCTGGGCTGTGCCGACCGCTCCGGTCCCGGCCCCGGGGCAGCACCCGCCGGGGCTCCGCTGGCGCAGGTAGGGGGACAGGACAGGTGCCGGCTCCGCTCCCTAGCACGGCCGGGCGGGGAGAGGCGGGGGGTGGAGGGAAGGTGCGGCGATGCCTCGAGGGGCTTTGAAATTAGTGACAGTCGTTTGGAGTAATTACTGGCACGAAAGGAGCTGACGTGTTCCTTCCCGAGGACAAATTGCTAGCAGATTTATAAACGGCCGGACCGCCGTGGGGTATCGGCGGCCACATGCGCGGCTCCGACTTTTTCTCCGTCGCGACGTTACGCGTTACCTGCAAGCGACGGTGCGGGGTGCGCGTCTCCGTCAAACGAAGGGTGTGCGGCCGCTTCTTCAGAACGACGCGTTTTATTTCAGCGATCCGAAACCCGAGAGCAGAACCGAGAGCTTCGGCTCAGCCCGGCGGGCCGGCGCTCCTTTGAAGCCGCGAAGCTTCGTCGCCTGGAGCGGCACGGCACGGCACGGCACGGCACGGCACGGCACGGCACGGCACGGCACGGCACGGCACGGCACGGCGGCGCTCCGAACGCGCGGCTTTGCTTCCCGTGCGGGAGGATCCCGTCCGCTCCCCGCGCCGTGACGGCCGCCCCGCAGCGGTACCCGCACGATGGGCGCCCCGCGCCGCTGTTGGCTGCGGCCGCTGCTCGCCGCCTGCCTGGCCGCCCGCCTGGCCGCGCTGCCCGCCGCCTGCCCCCGCCTCTGCGCCTGCTACGGCCCCGCCGAGGTGCACTGCACCTTCCGCTACTTCACCGCCGTCCCTCCGCGCATCGCTCCGGACGTGGAGCGCATCAACCTGGGGTACGTTCGGGTCGGCGCCGCGCCTCTGAGCGGGTATCTTTCAGCGCTCTGCTCCGCCAAGTAATAACTGAGAGTTCCCAGCCGTAGGGCTAGAAACTAACCCGGGCGGGGAATGAAACTTCGGTGAGTGGTTTGCATTATTCAGAGGTGGCCGCAACGAGGCAATGAGAGCTAGAGAAGTGTAAGACCTCCAACACTGTGCAGAAGTGTGATGGATGCGAGAATCTTAAAAAGTTTTGGATTTAAATGAGTTCTTTTACATTATCTGAACACCTTGCATCTGTAACATTGAACTCTGAAGGGATCTGAAACAGAGATAATTCCTTCTGGGAAAAGACAGCTCAGAGCTCCAGTGGGGCCAGAAACACAGCACAAGTGTTCAAATCTTCAAAGACTTATGCTGTGACTTCAGAATGTCATGCAATACTGTTTTCTACACTGTTATTTATCCAGCTTATGGGAAATAGCATTTATCTGAATACTTCAGACACCAAAACGATCCAGTTCAGGTGATCAGAAAGAGCAGAGAATAGATTACACACAGGCTTGACAGGTCTGTCAAAGGGCTTTCCCGCAAGCATCCTCTGCCATGAGCCCAATGGCCACGCAGCAGCCATGTCTGGCTGCCCCAGTAGCACTTTGGATACGCATGGCCTTAAGTTGTCCAAAGGTGTACGTGAAAAAGACAAAAGGAGGTTTCCATGGGAGCTTTTCCCTGCCCTGCTGCCGGCTCCCTGGTCACAGCTCCCTTTTCCTTCTCTGGTTTGGCAGCATTTCCCAGGAGAGCGGTGTATGAAAGCCTACGGCTCAGCACCAGCACTTCTGGAGGGCTGTGTTGCCCAAGGACGTGTTTGCAGCACTCTCTGCTATGACAGAAAGGCCAGCTATCTAACTGGGGAATTAATCTCTGCTCATGACCACTGGGCACGGGAGTTGTGATGGCTGTGTGAGAAGCAGATCAGGCCGTGTCAGCAAGGTAGGATGTAGAGGAAATGAAGGTCCAGAAGCACTCCTGAAAAGAGCAGAGGGTGGCAGGAAGGGCAGCAGAGGACAGCGAGACCCTGCAGGGCTGCAGCTCCACGGTCAGGGGCAGCGCTGAGTGCGGGTTGTTCTCACACTGCAAAGGAAGCCTTTCCAGGTCTTCTCCATGACAGTACGATGCAGAAGGGCAATGCCGTATTGCAGCCCTCCGCCATTACATGCACCCCTTGCCCTGGTCCCTGCAGCCCCAAACTGGCATTCTTGTCTGCATGCTGTTGCAATTATTTCCCATATCCAGTTGGAATACAGCCTTCAGGAAGCTGCCTGGGACAAGTCAACAAACTCTGTGCTAAGGAGAACAGATGACTTACATAACACTTCATCTTCGCTATCAGAAGCGCTGCCTCCCTTTACACATTTCAGAGAGTTTTCTTCCGTTTTTGGTTGGTTTCCTTTAAAACAAGACGTGTGGCTGTGTGACACAGCCAGGTCAGGTCTGGGATGCTGTTTGTTCCAGGTACAACAGCTTGCTCACACTGACTGACACGGACTTTGCCGGCCTGGAGAAACTGGAGTTACTGATGCTGCACAGCAATGAGATAAACGCAATCCCTGAGAAGGTGTTCAGGGATTTACGTTCACTACAGGTAAGGACGACGTGTTGGAGATAACCCAGCCTTAGCTTCCATTATGACCTTTAGGCAATCAGACAGCAATACCAGTGTGGGGGAGCAGCCCAGCCGCCTTCAACCTTTTGGTTTCCTGTTCCTAATGGTACCCCTGTGAAAGGTAAGGACATCCAACAGCCACCTCACGGGAAATGCCTTTCCTTCCCAGGTGGGCATTCAGGCGTAGAGTCAAGAGAGAGATGAACACTGGCACATATCTGACGTAATATCTTAACTGGCAGCTGCAATTGAGACTTTCTTCTATGTGAGGAAGGCTGCAGAGCTCCAAGTGCTGCATCTGCAGTCTTCAATTAATCAGTCACAGCTAGTATGGCATCCATCTATCCTCTATCTGTATTTGCCATCTAGTCAGTCATACACACAGAAGTAATTGAACGATTATTTATGACCAACCATTCCCAACCAATTCCATGTCAGTTAACAGTTACTCTCCAGTTAAATTTCAATCCAGAGCTGTTGTTAATAATTACAGAGAAGTAAAACCATTGTAGCTGTGACCATTTGTGACCATGAAAGACCTGAAGTGCTCAGAAAACACAGCGGTGACTCGATTGCTTTGGAGTATGAGAGGTGAGGAGGGAGAGACAGAAAGCAGCTAACGGGTGAGTGTGCACATCTCCAGGATCCAGTAACCCTCGTGAAGGCCACTCCTGTGCCCGAGAGCTCAGCTGTTACCTTCTACAACCACAAATAATTCCCATACAGTTCCCAATAATGCTTTTTTCCCAGCCATTTGCCCTGCTGGTCTGTTGCAATACTTCAGAGTAACCACCAATCCGAATGGCCTGGGAGCCTTACAGCAATGTAACGTTGCTTTTTCGTCAACAGGTCTTAAAGATGAGCTACAACAAGGTCAGTGTTCTTCAGCAAGATGCCTTCTATGGTCTGAAGAGCTTGGTCCGGTTGCACATGGACCACAATGAAATTAAATTTGTAAATCCCAACGTTTTCTATGGCCTCACATCACTGAGGTTGGTCCACTTGGAAGGAAATCTCCTGAAGCAGCTCCATCCGGACACTTTTGTCACCTTGAGCTACCTCCAAATATTTAAAGTATCCTCCATAAAGCACGTACACCTGTCTGACAACACGTTGACCTCGCTACCACGAGAAATGTTTTCCTACATGTCTGAGCTGGAGAGCATTTACCTCCATGGGAACCCATGGGCCTGCGACTGCGATCTGCAGTGGTTTGCAGAATGGGCAGAACAGAGGCCAGGTGAGCTGACGGCTTTGCTTGTTCTTTTTAATCACCTTACAGCATCTTCTTGCTGATAGCATCGTCCTTTATTTATTGATATACACTCCTAGGGAAGACTGGAAACACAATGGCATCTGATATATCTCTAATTGTTCGAATGCTGATGATCGACCTGCTGACACCTGCTGTCAGTCTTCCAGAGGTACTGGATGCGTTGTTATTTGTGCTACACCCCTCAAATATCACAGCAAATTAACTGATGTAAAGCAGAAGCAGCTACATGAAACTTGTCACTCCTTTACAGCAGCCAATGATCCCTTTGTGAACAGCAGGCCATTACAGCACGCCTGCACCAATCCTTTGCACTTCTATTATTTCTTATTTTTATCCCCTCTACTCAAAACGTTACTCCCCAGCATCTGCTTTGGTTCTGTTTGTTTTTTCAACTTCTAAGAGTCCTGATCCTAATGCTAAAACTGTGTTTTTCTTTCCTTCAGATGTCATAAAGTGCAAAAAAGACCGAAGTTCTGGTGCTCAGCAATGCCCAGTCTGTGCCAGCCCCAGGAACTGCAAAGGGAAGAACTTTGTGGGTATTCCTCCTGCAGCTCTGACCTGCACTAAGCCAGTCATACATCACACCCTGAAACTCAAAAACCTCACAGTGCCAGAGGATGGGGATTTCAGCTCTGTATCTCCCAAGGACTTCCTAGCTCCCATAGGATCTGTGGTTTTGAACATGACTGACCAAGGAGGAAATCGAGGTAACTTGGTTTGCAACGTTCAGAAACCAAAAGAAATGTCTCCCATCTCATTTGACAAAGAGGACAACGTCACAGTCCTCAGAACATCATTCTCATCATTTCTCGTGTGCGACATCGCCTACGGACACATTCAGCAGCTGTGGAGCATACTGGCCCTGTACAGTAATTCTCCCCTCAAACTCGACAGGAGTGCCGTCGCAGCTGAAACACCTTTCATCACTTACCAATATAAGCAAAACTACTCTGAAAAAGATGAACTTTTTACCAAGGTGGAGGCTGAACTCAGAGCTGAACCATCGTGGTTAATGCAAAACAAAGTGGCACTGCAGCTTGACAGGACAGCAACCACACTTAGCACGCTGCACATCCAGTACTTCACTGATGCTGAGATAGTTTTGCCCACTGTTGACCAAAAGAAAGTGGGAAAGAACTGGACAGTGATCTCCAGGGACAACAAAACACAAACAGAACACACTGTTCCAGTCGGGAGAACTGCACAACTGGACTGCCAAGCAATCGGGCAGCCAGCTCCTGCCATAGAGTGGATATTGGCTGATGGGAGCAAAGTCAGAGCCCCTTATGTCAGTGAGGACGGCAGAATTGTAGTAGCAAAATCCGGGACATTCACGTTACGAACAGCTGATACGTTTGACTCTGGGCTCTATCACTGCATCGGCACAAATGGTCACGATGCAGATGTCCTCACGTTTAGAATCACTGTGGTTGATCCTTACGTGGAACACAGCAGTGTAAATGGGGCCCAATTTTCCACAGCGGTTGGCAGCATTCTGGACCTTCCCTGTACCTCTGCCGCTGTTCCAGATGCTGCCATTAGTTGGGTGTTACCTGAGAGAGTGGTTCTTCACCACTCCGTAAGAAACAAACAGATTTTTGGCAACGGTACCTTAAGAATACAGGGGGTAACAGAGCGAGACAACGGCTACTTTAGATGTGTTGCAGCCAACCAGTACGGTGTTGATCTTTTGATTTTCCAAGTGCTGGTTAGAGAGGGCAAAAGCACCCCACAGAAAGCACCCGTGGCTGCGGGAGAGTGGGAAGAGAGCGATGGCTCTGGTGATGCAGCGCTGCCCTCAGGTAGAGGAAGGCAGAATTCCTCAGCTGCCCTGCTGAGCTGGATGGGTCGGGAGCCCAGTGCCCCAGCACACAGACAGCAGGGCACGCACAGCACCCGCACTGGCAGCGGCCCCAGGAGGATGACGAGCCGTCAGCACAGGGACAAAGCTGGCAGGAGGCTCAGGGGGCATCGAAGGCGCTTTGGCTCCTCAGCCAAGAGAGCCAACCCCCAGCGCTGGGCGGCCTTTCTGGAAAAAGCAAAGAGGAACCCACCCGGGACAGAAAAACAAGAAGTGGAGACAACCCCACCTGTTCAGGTCCATGAGTTCTCAACGGTGCCTGCGGATGAGGAGGAAACGTCTGGTGCTGCCATCTCCCCAGAACAAGAGTTCATGATAGTGGTAACAGAGGGGGCCACCATGTCTTCCCTGGGGAGCACAGCTGGTAGCACAGCCCCTGCAGGGGCCGGGACCCCCCCACCCGCTCCCTTCCCACAGCCCAGCCCATCCGTCAGCCCCACACCAGCAGATCTAAACCCTATGACCACCACCTCAGACTCATGGGAAAGACCCAATTTAAGCCAAACATCAGCAAGCGGTGGGAAGCAATCGATGGCAACAGAGGGAGCAAGCAGAACATCCGTGCTCATCAGTGCTCAGCAAAGATCAGCACCTCCTGGAGAACATAACAGTCTATATTTAAAGGCTGTATCTGCGACAACCACGGGGAATATTACAAACAGCAGCACACCTGCAACTTCCCAAAATGCAGTGGGTGAAATGCATGGTTTTACAGAGTTTACTGATAAGATTTCCACCAAAACAGATGGTCAGGCATCTGCAGCAACAATCAGCAAGCCAAACTCTGAGTTTGGTCACATTCACTTCCACAGTGCTCAGAAACCTGTAACTCCTGCACTACCACTGGGCCCAAACATCGTTACTCATCAGCACGCTCAAATCATTCAGGATGTGACAACCCACACACCTCAGGCCCGGCAACAACATGGGAGAAGGAGGAAAGTTTCTGCTAGGAGAAAAATGGTCAGGCCAGGACGTCTTCTGAGTATGAAAGAGCACAGGCGCAATTCAGGGAAGCAAGGCTCTGCCGGAGGGAGAACAGCTATTGCTCCAGCTGTCCTGCTGAGTTCAACACACAGCCCTAACGTGCCCACCTTCAACAACTCACACAGCAGCATCAACCCGCTCAGCCCAGAAGCGCCTCTGTCCTCCCCCTCTACTACAGATATGTCCTCAGAGCACTCAGAAGGCACAGCTCGGAGCACAGCATTCCTCATGGAAGAGGACAGTGCACCCACTGCAAGGCAAGGAGCCACTTCCACCGCACTGCCTGTAGTTACTCAAAGCACCGGAGATGCTGCCCAGAAGGAAGCAGAGAGCAGAGCTCCGTGTCACAGCAGCACTTACAAAGCACAGCCTGTTAGCAGCAGGCTGCCAACGTCTGCAACCCGCACAGCTCACACCGCAGAAATCACACACATGATGAGCACAAGGACTGCTTCTGCTCCCCCAACAGTCTTCTCCAGATCCTCATCCAAAAACTCCCAGGGAGGAAAAATTATAAGAGCACTTCTCTTTGGAAATGGCACACAAAAGGAAGTGCCGAGGACAGGTGCACTTCCACCAACAGAGTTATCAGTCTTGCTTCCTGAAATTACAGCAGTGGCATCGAGACCCCACGTCTCTCCTTTGCCCTTCACACCCATCTCAGTGGACATCGATCCCGTCCCATCTTTAGGCAAACCCGCTGACAGCAGCAGTACGTCAGAGAAGCCCCCTGACTGCAGCCCTGCAATGAGCACAGCTGGAGGAACCGGCAGAGAGAGCGCAAAGCCAACAACTACAGCTTCTGTGGCTCCTCAAAAAGCGTTCAGAACAGGAAGAAGGAGAGGTCAGAGGAGGAGGCGGCCCCCTAAAACAGCTCCTTCTCAAAGCCCAACCACAGGCGCCCGCACTACAGCAGACGCAGCCTCAGCCACCACAGCCGCAGCCAGCCCGCCCGCTGCGCCCACCAGGCACGCGCCTGCAGCAGCGGGGTCTGACAGCCCACCCGCAGGCTGGGTCCCAGCTCTATGGGCTCTGCCCCCACCAGGCACAGCACAGCACGGACCCACGACAGCGCCGCAGACAGCAGCAGCCCCCAGCATGGTGGTGAGCAACCCTCCCGCGTCACTGCTGCCCCACAGCCCTCGGCCACAAACCCCCACTGCAACAGCCTCAACCCCCCCGCTGCCCTCAGAGCCTCTGGGTGCCAAGCGAGTGCATCCTGCTGCAGTCAGTGCCGCAGCGCGCTCAGAATCTGCTCAGCACCTCAAAGCTTCCACCCCAGCAGCTGAGCGGCCGCACCTGTGGACAGACAAGGAGGCCGCTCGAGGCAGCCCCGTGGCACGGCCCCTGGACCTGGGCAGCACCGAGCTGAGCAGCAGAGCTCTGGGCACCATGGCTCTAAGAGAGCAGCGTCCCACCTCAGCACCGTCCATGGGGGGAATCGGTGCTGGGCTGCCACCTACAGAAAGGGGAGGCAAAACCTCAACAGTTAACACGCCGACTGTGTCGACACCATGGCAGGTGGCTGCTCCACATGCATACCTGTGGGGCAGCTCTGCCGACGGCTGGTCTGACCAGAGACAGCATCACAAATCCACCACCAGCATCCCTCTGTCCTTGTTCTCTTTAAGCGGAAACTATTTCACAAAGCCCAGAATAATTGGAGGAAAATTAGCTGCCTTCACTGTGCTGGCCAACTCAGATGCTTTCATTCCGTGTGAAGCTACGGGCAACCCCCAGCCAACAGTAGAATGGACCAAGATCTCCCCAGGTAAGCTCGGCAGCTCCGGGTGCCGCAGTCTGGCAGGTGGTTGGCATGCTGCAGGCAGTAGTGCTTGCCTAGGAATACCATGAAGGATCAGTTACGGCACAAACTAAGAAATAGTGAGAAAAATGACATCCCAGCATGCTTGCTGGAGTGCCTTAATACCGACTACAAAACAGTTGCTAAGGGAAATGTTAAATATGTGCATACGTAAACAATAACCTTGTGCTTACTGTGAGAAGATTAAAGCTCTTCTTGCACATTACCTGCTGCTTCAGAGCAGTCAAATGAACATAATGAACCATGACATCAAGTTATTGCAAGGGCAAAACATTTACCAATTTGCAACACCTGCACACAACTGAACCAAAGTACTTCAGGCTACACAAAGCCTTACCTTCAGTATCGGAGTCTTGTCTCTACCAAAGAACTTAGGTTTGGTTGTCTTTTGAAGCTTTTCCACTGCATACGTAGGATTTATGATTTCTCCCTTTCTTACAACCACTGTCTTGGGCATTTGGGCAGCGTAGCCCAAGATAAGGAAAGCGTATATGGGTACAGAGCAAAACAAGGCGGGATGGAGAGGTCTGATGCCGTGCTGTTGTCCCTCCCTCCCGCAGAGACCGATGCCCCAGCGAGTGGCAGCAGGTGGTCGGTGCTGCCCAACGGCACGCTCGCCATCGTGCGGGCAGCCCTGCAGGACGGCGGGCAGTACTGCTGCACCGCCACCAACGCTCTGGGCACAGCACGGCTCCTGGCCACGCTGGCGGTGGTGGCCTACCCGCCCCGCATCGCCGGCGGCACGCGGCTCCTCACTGCCCACGCCGGGACGCCCGTGGCCATGAGGTGCCCGGCCGAGGGCAGACCTCCTCCCTCCATCTCGTGGGTTCTGGCCAACGAAACGCACGTTTCCAGCTCTTCCCAGGGAAATCAGAAAGTTCTCGTGCAGCCGGATGGCACCTTAATGATCAAGGATGTCACGGTTTACGACAGGGGCCTCTACACATGCACGGCCACAAACCCAGCAGGCGCTGACACGCTGACTGTGAAGCTGCAGGTCATCGCAGCACCTCCCGTCATCGTGGAGGAGAAGAGACAGCAGATCACAGCTATGGCGGGGCGAGACCTGAGCCTTCCTTGCACCGCAGAAGGGAATCCTCAGCCCCGCGTCCACTGGGTCCTCCCCGAAGGGACGGTGGTGAAGCCCCTGCAGTTTGTGGACACCGGGGTGCTGCTGCTTCCCAACGGCACCCTGCGGCTCAGCAGCATCGCACCCACCGACAGCGGGAACTACGAGTGCATCGCCACGAGCTCCACGGGCTCGGAGCGCAGGGTGGTGACCCTCACTGTGCGGCACCGGGACACGCTGCCAAGGATAGCTGCCGCCTCCCAGGGCATGACCCAGCTCAGCTTTGGGGACAAACTGCTGCTGAACTGCACGGCCACAGGGGAGCCCCGGCCCAGGATAATCTGGAGGCTGCCATCCAAGGCGGTCGTAGACCAGTGGCACAGGTAGGAGCCTGTTTTCTCCCTTAGCTCTTGGAAAACTCACGTGCTAGCATCTCCAGTGCTGGTGTAAGGGAGTGGAACGTCACTGGAACGATCCATTAAGAGCTAAATTCACTTCTGAACACAGCTCTGTAGTACCAACAACAGCAATCTCCTGGCTGAAATCATGGCAGAGTGAAAGGCAGCACATTCCAGCACCAGTGATGTTCTCAGCCCCTGCTGCCTGCAGGCTCGAGCTGAATGCAGGCACAGGAGGAAAAGAGGTGCTTAAAGTAGAGGTGCATTAGCAAGGATGTAAAGAAATACCGTGCAAAATCAGTTTGGGCCCATTGTAAGCATTTAGCAACTCCTGAAGGACCCAGCCCCATTATGTTTCTTTCATCCACTGCAGGCACCCAGATTTGATTCACCACCATTTACATCCCAATGTTGTGGGAAAAAAGCCTTGGTATTTTCAGTGAAGGAAAGAAGTCTAGGAAAACGGAAGTGCTGAAACATGAGCATAGTGCCTTTAAAAATGTACTTAAATTAGCCAGGTATCTGATACAGAATATATACCATGAGGAATTTTTAATTTATGAAATACAACTTTAAATTAGGAAATCAAGGAGCAAAGCTCACTCCATACTTAACAAGTTAATAGCGTAAGCCACTGCCAGCACTCAGTATTCACCTTCAGAACTTTGTTCCATAATTCTTTTCCTCTTTCTCCCCCCCAGCAGAATGGGAAGTCGAATCCACGTGTATCCCAATGGATCCCTGGTTATCGAGGCAGTTACTGAAAAGGATGCGGGGGACTATTTGTGTGTCGCAAGGAACAAAATTGGAGATGATCTGATACTGATGAAAGTCAGCATCACAATGAAACCAGCCAAGATTGACCAGAAACAGTATTTCAAGAAACTGGTGCCCTACGGAAAAGATTTCCAGGTGGACTGCAAGGCCTCCGGGTCACCTGCACCAGAAATATCCTGGAGTTTGCCGGATGGGACAGTGATCAACAACGCGATGCTGGCAGACGACAGCGGACACAGGTCTGGCAGATACGTCCTCTTTGACAACGGAACGCTGTATCTCAACAGAGCTGGAGCAACAGAGGAGGGAGATTACACCTGCTACGCTCAGAACACTCTGGGGAGAGATGAAATGAAAATACACATCACAGTCGTCACGGCAGCCCCTCGCATAAAGCACAGTCACAAGACGTACATTAAAGTGAAAGCCGGGGATACGGCGCTGTTGGACTGTGAAGCTGCTGGGGAGCCTAAGCCAAAAATATTCTGGTTGCTGCCTTCCAGTGACATGATCTCCTCTTCCACAGACAGGCACCTGCTGCACACTAATGGCTCCCTGTCAGTCCGCCGAGCCAAGCTGCTGGATGCTGGGGAGTACATGTGTGTTGCTCGTAACGCCGGAGGGGATGATACAAAATTGTATAAACTGGATGTTGTTGCGAAACCACCTATCATAAATGGCTTATACACAAACAAAACGATCATTAAAGTGACTGCAGTGAGGCACTCGAAGAAACAAATCGACTGCAGGGCAGAAGGGACGCCTCCCCCCCAGATCATGTGGATCATGCCCGATAACATTTTCCTGACAGCTCCGTACTACGGCAGCAGGATTGTGGTGCACAAAAACGGAACGCTCGAAATCCGGAACCTAAGGCCTTCTGACACAGCAGATTTTATCTGCGTGGCACGGAACGACTGGGGAGAGAGCATGCTGGTGGTGCGGCTGGAGGTACTGGAAATGCTGAGGCGACCCATGTTTAAAAATCCATTCAATGAAAAAATAATAGCAAAACCTGGGAAAACAATCACACTGAACTGCTCTGTGGATGGAAACCCTCCACCTGAAGTAAGCTGGATGCTGCCCAATGGCACGTGGTTCTCCAAGGGGACCAGGATGTCCGAGTTCCTCCCAGGAAGCCATGGAACCCTTACCATCCGCAACCCCAGCAGGGACAAAGCCGGGAAGTATCGCTGTGCAGCTAAGAACCAAGTCGGCTACATCGAAAAGCTGATCGTCCTGGAAGTTGCTCAGAAGCCCACCATCCTCGTTTACCCCCAGGGGCCAATGAGGGGCATCAGCGGGGAATCGTTGTCGCTTCACTGCCTGTCCGACGGCAGCCCCAAACCCAGCACGGCGTGGACTCTTCCAGGTGGCCACGTGCTGGACCGACCTCAGATCAACAGCAGACACATCCTGCTGGAAAATGGCACGCTGGTGATACGAGCAGCTACCATTCACGACAGGGGGAATTACGTGTGCAAGGCCCACAACCCCGCCGGAGATCTGTCTGTAACCGTGCCTGTCACCATTGTAGCCTATCCTCCGAGGATTACAAACAGACCCCCGCAGACCATAAGTACCATGCCTGGTGCGGCAGTTCAGCTCAGCTGCATGGCGCTGGGAATACCAAAGCCAGAAATCACATGGGAATTACCTGACCGCTCCGTTCTCTCTCCAGGTAACCGCGGCCGAGCACCTGGCAGTGAACTGCTGCATCCCCAGGGGACGCTGATCATCCAGAACCCCCGGCCGTCAGACTCTGGAACGTACAAGTGCACAGCAAAGAACCATCTTGGCAGTGATTTCACAGTCACATACATTCATGTCATTTGAAATAAGAAATACAGAATGAGTGATTGGTAGCAAAGTATACAGCTGGACTGAGTTCATTCTTGGAATAAGTTTAATCGAAGGCAGCCGAAGGCACATAAGTGCCTAAATACATTTACAGGATTCACTCTGCAATGAGCACACCAAAAAGAAAAAGGAAATTAGATCTAGCATTGCCATCCAGCATTGATTCAGTGATCGAAGGGACCTAAATAAAACTGAACTTGAGGCACTTTTGCCCTGCCAGCAAACTTGGAATACTGAACAATATTACTTTCTAGAAATGTACCTAGAGAACTTCCGTACAGGACTGATGTTTTTAAACTAGATTAATAATGTTCACCTTGTGTGGCATGGATCAGAAAGGAAGAATGTCCAAGGACCAAAGAACAGATTTTACCGTGCTGCAGATTACTTTCTTAACATGATAGATTATTTGGTACATTTTTATAAAATAAACATTCCCTGGTGAAACAAGCAGTGAAGACTGATTCACGGTCTTCTGTGCAGAACGTTGGGAGGATGCATTCAGAAGAATTTGGGCTTTAGTCCAGGTTGGCATCATTTTCCAATTATCACAAAATTTCTTTTAAAGATTTCTCACTTAGAAAACAATTACGTCAGCCTGCACGTCAACTGAGAATTTTGCTTTCTCAATGCACTGGGTAGGTCTAAGGAGAGACCTTTTGCCTTCAGAACAGAGGGAAATGGACACACATGCATTCTGCGCAACCAAACGGTGAACTGGACTGGTCAAATAACTATCAATCAGTAACTCCAGCTCTGAGTGTCTCACTCACGCTCTTCCTAGGAGCGTTAACACCAGGACTGAAGGGCCAGAAGAGCCTTTCCCCCTGAACTCACCAACTGCGGACTCACGTGTGCCATGGAGGGGACCACGCTGCCCTGCAGCAGCTGTAGAGCAGAGCAGGGACTGCTGTTGGTGAAAGCACTCCCTTCTCATTACAGGAAACCTAACAGACACATGGAGAGCTCAGGGTCACCATCCCCCACCTCACCAAGACTAGCTCTTCACATCCTTTAAAATAACAACAGAGAAGTTCAAGAAGTGTAACGTACCTCTTCTGGGATAAAACAGCCATCGCTCATAGGACAGCCTGCAGTGAAACTCCTCAGTGCTACGCAGCATCCGAACCTCCCACAACAAATCCCTCAGCAGCGGCTGATGAACACACAAAGTTCTCATGAGTGAGAAAGTGCCAACAGCTACATGCAGATTCTGTCCTCTCATTTAACCACGTTATGATCGAGCTGGAGATTTTACTTATTTGTTCATTTAAGAGTTCATACTCAGCTGGGGCAGCCTTTGTGCTGGCATGACCGTTTCTGAACATCAGCTGCACGTGGTCTGCTGTGTGCTTCCTTCCACACAGGCTGGGTTACACCAATCTCATCTGTCAGCATCTGTGACAACTTTATCTGCTATGAAGAACAGTACACTTCCACTGGGGATAAGAAAATCCATGTAAAAACAAACAAACAAACAAACAACCCAAAAAAACAACTGAAATAATTTTTATGTAAGTTAGACTTATCTGATCACTTTAAAAGACAATCAGAATCTACACGTTAACTGCTTTATATGATTAAATCTTGTAAGTGGGATAACATAAGGCAAATATAACAGCTTACAGCTTGAACAACTCCTGCTGTTGTAGACAATACCAAAGTTACGATTAGCACAAAGTTCTTAACTTGCTGGCCAACCCAGAAACATGAAGGAGAGCATCATGGTATTATTTATAGAGCTTCTGCGCAGAGCTCATTTCTGCAGTTAATCTTGATTCACACAGAACCAACATTACACCACTGAAGCTCGGCCAGAAATGAAGCATCCAACCCAGACTTTTGAGCGGTTACCACACCAAGTCAGTAAAAAGGTCGCACCGATAAGAGGCACAGCAGGGCAGGGGCACGCAGTGCGGGCAGCCCCAGAAGTGGCAGAAAGGACTTTTTCAGCCCCCCTTTGTGAAACCCAGGGTGGGATTTCCTCACTGAACCACCCAGAGCCAAACAGACCTGCCTTCCTGCCGGCCCACAGCCCTGCCCAGCCCTCAGCGCTCCTCCAAGGATCACCAAGGGCCGGGACGTTACAAAGACCACATATGAAGAAATGCTGCTACTTTCAGTTGGTTTATTAACATTACATTGTGGCTTTTAATATAAACTTTAAGAAGTTCTAATACAAGCAGTAAACCCACTTCAGCACCTTCTTACCACAATGAGAGCGAGAGAGAGTTGTTACTTTAAACAAAGAACTTTATAAAGTGCGTATGAAAACTACAGTCAAATAAACACAATTCAAATCAACGCTCGTTCTACCATCAAACAAAGAGGTGAACATCTTAATGAACAAATCAACTGTTATGCCAAGGTCAGGAGTGCCTTTCAATTCAGCAGTTTGGTCCAGTGCAGTTCTTAAAAAAATAAATAGTAACAACGACAGAATGTTTCCCACGGATAAACAAACAAACCCAACATTCTCTGTCCTCTTTAAAAGGAACGGGACCTAAAAAGCACCAAATTCATAAAATCTGCAATAACATTCTTCAGATAGGTCCACAAGTCCTTACATTTAAATCTAATTAAAAGCAAAGAAATTCGAACCCCTGCGAGAACCACCTCGTTACACACTCACATCAACTGCAGCACGAAAAATAATTACCAAAATAATAAGAGAAGGAAATGAAGGTTTCCTTTCTAGCAATAAGTAGTGCATTGGATTTCGAATGTTCTGTTCTGCAGTGCAAACGGAACGTTCCGCCTCCTTCCCACCTTTGGGCTCAGAAGTGTGAAGGATGCCCATACTGGTTCACTCCCTGCGGTTGGTTACCTGGTGACGAAGCAAAGAACGAGCTGCACAGAACGCAGCGCACCGTGTTTCAGCAGCAGCGCGCCGTCGGTCGCTGCCACACAGCAGTGAGGCGAGCGGTGGGGCAGCAGTGCGGGCAGGCGGCCCCTGCCTCGGCCCTCCAGGACCCACAGAGCCCCAGCTGCGCCGGCTGCAGCGCCGCACTGTGACACGGCTGCCGGGTGCAGGGCCTGCTGCCAGCCACCGACAGCTCCCACGTTAGTGGGACACTACTGCACATCCCCCCACAGACGGACGGACAGACACGGCTGCACTCACTGGAGAGCTGCTTCTGCAGCTGCCGGACCAGCGCCGCCGTCTGCTGCTGCTGCTGCGTCTGCTGCAGGCCCTGCCTCGGGAACTGCTGCGGAAAGACAGGTGGCAGAAATCACAGCATGAGCGCACGCTGGTAGCGCAGAAAGCAACGCTCCCATCCCAGCTGAGCCCACCATTGGCTGCTGCAGCACAGGTCTCCCAGGGACGGCTCCGGGCCCTGAGCCCAGCAGACAGTGTGACCGGAGAGCGGCCGGCAGAGCGGGGAAGGATGGCGAGAGGCAGAGCTGCCCAGCAGCAGGTCCTGAGCACGTGTTCACAGCGGAGCGAGGACACAGGAAACACGCTCAGAACCCCCAGGACATGTTTTCTTCATGCCATTTCACATGTCTCCAATGCTACTACAGGTGTCATAGTGTGTGCTGCTGGTCTCCCCACCCTTTCCACCCCTGCAGAGCCCGGTGTTATCCTGCACATTGCTTTCAGCAACTTTGCTCTCTGTCTTGCTCAGAGCCACGGATAACCAGAACTGCTCATCAAAACTAATGTCCTTTTGGCAGCTGTAAACACCCTTGTGTAGCTCAAGAAACTTCTAGGAAGATGTTTCTCTCAGGACAGTGGCACTTCAAATGACATGAAGGATAAGCACAAAGAAGAGCTGTTCACGTGCTGCAGGGCTGTGGCTGCTGGTTCCACTGTGGTGGAGAATGCTCAGCATGTGCCATTAGCAAACCTCACTCTGATCTGAGCACAGCCCATGGGAGCAAGGCAACCCTCCCACAGCACACTGTTATGTGTGACAGAATCAAACACTGAGAGCTTCCAAAGAAATCTGCTGCTAATGAACTAAATCGTGCCTTCAATCCTTTCGAAAGCACCCTTTGGTGTAAATTCATGGACTTCCACAAATTCGTACGCTATCTATACTGCATCAAAGCAGAATTCAGTCTCTAACTGGTACACTTGACAGCACGTGTTATTCCCTAGCTGAACAGCCCATGCAATGTATTTCTCTGCGACACCAGGCAGGAGAACAAGCACTGTTCTGTTTTCGGCTCTTCTACCCATCAGCCAGAAGAAAATCACTATTAATAACTTAATAGGTCAGCTACCTGTAGGTCAGACTCACAGAATCATTGAGGTTCAAAGACCTCCAGGATCATCAAATCCAACTGCCGACCCATCACTGAAGTACATATCTGTCCAGTCAAGCTGCTAAATCACAACTGATAAATTTGGGCGGTCAGACCATCTGAAGCAATGGTGCTGCTAGGATGGGTTCCTCTGGAGTCAGAAATGGTGCACAGCAGAGGTGTTTCCTCCCTCTGGAAGCACAGATATCCCCTGCATGAAGTGAAACCTGTGTGACAACTGCCTGGGGCTGCCGAGCACAGAAAGCTGATGGCACAGCTCTGACACCTTCCTGCTCCTGAGGGACCGTGATGCACGAGGGACTGCTGTGCTGGCTGCTGAAGTCAAAACTGTCACCACTTACTGAACTACCTATTTACTGCAGGGCCTTGGAGCTCCCTTGGTCTGTTTTCAAAATCCGACTGCTTTTCTTCTCGTTAGATCTGATGAAAGGACACGTGCTTCTACTTACGTGCTTTTTTTTCTTTTACATACAGCATCCACAGTCTCTGCTTAACAACACACCACCCAGCCTCACGTGCTGCCTGAAGTGCAGCGCAGTGACACTCGGTGGCAGCACACACTGCGCAGATCCGCTGTTTCTCTCAGTGAAACCCTGGCTAACCAAAGGGACTTCCAGGGCTTTAGGAAGACTTCAGCTTTTTTTTCTCTTTCTGAAAACCAATCCTTTACTTAAAATACATTGTGTAATCCTCTGACTCCAGTAACTGCTGAGGTTAGTGAAACGTATTAACCACACACCAGGGCTTCCTGGGGATGTGAAACCCACATGGAGTGCTCTGCTGCTGGAGGAGCGGGTGCCTGGTGGCAGAGCTCTGCCTCTGTGGCAACCCATCAGAGGCAGCCTGCTCAAGACAAGAATACTGAGAAAAGCTTAGAAATGGATATAAACGATTTTTCAGTAGTGATCAGATGAAGACCCCTCGTTTATCACTCCTCCCACACCTGCATACTGCCTTTTGGTTTCTCTGTCAAATTGCATTAATGCCTTTGGACTTGGCAGCTGGCAAATTTAGTGTCGCTTGTATTTTCTCCATTTTTCCAGACCAACCTTTTCTAATTATCCTCTTAAACACGTCTGGAAAAAATGGCCATGTCCAGGAAACACAGACAACAGCATTGCAAATTCAATGTAAGCTTCACCCAGTCTGCCCCTGCCCCATGCTCATCATCCATCCCACTTACCAGGGGCTGCTGCGGCTGCACGGGCTGGAGATCAAGAGTCTGCTGCTGCTGCCCCTGCTGCATCTGAAAGAAGACAGGCCCTGAGACAGCAAACAACTGCACACACAGCACCTCGGGGAGCGTCCCTAAGACAGCACCACAGCTGCTCATGGCCAATGTATGGGCTGGGACCTGGGCTTGCACACAGGAGGTCCCAGGAGGTGTGAGCCTGCTGGTGCTCCAGCTCTGCATCGTCAGCTGCACTGAGCTGAGACATTTGTAATAACCAAAATACATTCCAAAGCTGGTATGTTTAATTTATTACACCAAAACGTCCAGATGAAATGCACCACCATTTGTCAGGAATGGGCACAGATATCCATTGCATTACAATGAAAACATGGAAATAATTCCAAAGGACCAAGGAAGGATGCATGCAATCCCCGCAGAGAAGCGCCTGCAGCCTTCAGGGCAGTCGGGTTCCTCACCTGGAAGAGCCTCTGCTGTCGGATCTGCTGCTGCCTCTGTCGCATTTGCTCCGGGGGCAGCTGTGCTGAGCTCAGGCTCGGATGGGTACGTGTGGTAGATGTGCTGTCCAGGCCTGCTCCTATCAATGAGTTTGGCTGCAAAGGTTGATGGGTCAACCTGGTTGAAAAATAATACAATAAGTAAAAGGTATTCTACTTCACTTAAAGACAGAGCAGAGATAGTCTAGGAGCACTACTAAAAGCTGTAACATCAGGCTTCAACAGATTTGAAAGATGCAAGTTTTACAGGATGACTACTGTTCCAAATAGGAATGCTTCAAGAAGTACCCAAACCAGAAGCTGCACCATCCTACCACGCTGCAGGCGATGCAGGCAGGACACCATTTCATTCTCACTCTGTTAGAAGGAGCAATGAGCCTCTACATTTCAAGCAAGCACTCTAATAAGCATTGAAGTGTTCTCTGAGAAAAACATCCATAGTTAATTACATTTCCAGAGATTCAAAACAGATTATAAAGACTTCTTACTTCCTGAAATAATGGAAAAAACTAGCAAGCATGAAACACTTTGGACCTCTAGATCGAAGTCACGGTTAAACCTTGCAAGGTTACAGCTCCGAGAAGGGCAGAAGCTCACCGCTGAGCGCCCGCCACGGGCTGCATGTAGGCAGCTGCCTGCTGCTGAGCCACGCCACCCGGCTGCCCCGGCCGCAGCCGCTCCATCAGCACGGGGCTGGAGTGGGCCGTGTACGCCCGCGGGGTGTAGCCAGGAGAGAGCACCACGCTGCCGGGCTGCTGCTGCTGCAAGGGCATCGGGGTGCTGTACATCGTGTACCCGTGGGGCATGCCCTGCATGGAAAGCAGGCAGAGAGGAGCTTCACGTTGGAGTTACATAAACCAGCGTCATTGTAAAAGAGGTCACATTACAGACTTGGCACTGAAGTATGCTTGTCTTCTACCAGAACATCACTGGGGAAAAATGCGCAAGTTGCAGCTATTTACAGCTGTGGCATGCAGAGAGCAGCGAGCTCCCATGGCCGAGCATCACACCACCCCGGGGCACAGGCACCATCCCAGCCTCCAGCACGGCCGGCCAGCCTGGAAGGGAAGGGGCTCGGTTTCACTTGTTGCTGTGCACTCACTCTGCAGAGCAGTGCAGTACCTGTGCTTGCTGAAGCCCTGCGTACTGCGGTAGCTGCGGCGTGGGTCGGACTTGCGGGGTGAAAAGAGCAGCGGGGTCCATCGGCTGACCCTGCAAGACACACGTGGTCAGACTGGCCCTGCTCCTGACAAGACAGCAGGAACAGGGAGAGGATCCCCTGTTCCTCCAGAAGTGCCTGGCCCCGAGCTGCCTATGGAGCAGGGGCAGGGCTGGCCCCGACCTCTGGCACAGGCACTTCTCCACCACTGCAGCACTGCAGCTATCTGCCAACAAGGCTGCTGCTGTTTAAAGGACAAGTGCCCTTTAAAATGGAGTTTTGCAAAGAATTTCTCCTGCCTTAGGAGGAAGAAAGTTCACATCACAGAGACTGACATCACCTCTCTTCCCCAGGAATGACTGAGTTTTGTGAAACATCAGCACAGATCTCTAAGCAGCAGAGGGCCCAAAGCAGGGCTGCTCCCACTGCATGCCCTGCCCAGCACAGGGCTGCAACGCCGGGCAAAATGGGAGAGCACAAGCCATGCTTGGATGGACATGGTGTCAGGGAGCACTGAGACTGCTGTGACCTCTCACAGTGAGAAACACAACACCTTCTGAAGAGGAAAAAAACAGTGATGATGCAGTTATTGGGAATGTTTGTAACAAAAATATTTTGTGTGTGCAAGTATATTCACAGCCTTCTCCATGCAGCCACCGCACTGCTGAGCCATGAGGAGTGCCCAAAGCAAATCATTCCCATTAAAAGCAGAGTGCAGCCGGCGTGTTGGAAGGAATGACTGTGCAAAAGAGAAAGAAAGTTCACAATCCCCAAGCAGTTACCATTATGTTGTCAAAGCCATCCTGAAGGGATACAGCAGAGCTACTGACATCCTGAAGGAAAAGGACAGGCAAGAAAATAGCAAGCAGTACAGAGAATACACATTCCTAGGCTCAGAGTTCTGGTGGAGCAGCACAGCACCCTCACAGTGCCCACCTGACTGCACCCACAGCACATGGTGCTGGAAATGATGGCAGAGTCCTTCTGGGTGTTCCATGACACTAATAAGCCTCAGTATTTTTATAACATTTATGAAACACCGAACATGGAAAGGACTCCCTGCCATCCACAAGAGCCTACTATTGCTACATATAACATGCAACATTTTTGGACAAAGCACGCTCTTCGCAAAACCTGCACACAGCCCTTCCTGTAAAAGAGCACTGCAGATTGGTTGGTACAAACTGGTGTCACAGAACCATCCTCTCCATGGGCTCAGGCTGAGCAGGGAGTTCCATTCTCCAGCTGTAGAGATATGAAATATAAGGAAACCTTCCCTACTGAAGCTTGGCCAAACAACCTAGGTCACATAGCAGCAGTGCTCACAAGTTGTCTTGTTCCTCTCTTTCCAAACACTCCGTGCAGGCACACACACCTGCGTAGCATTCCCTGCCCTGTCACCAGGCAGTGCACCCCGGGACCCCGTTGTGCATGGTGCAGGGCAGCAAGGCTGGAGTTGGACCTGGTGCATCTCCAGGTTGGATCTGGGCTTTGTGTGCATCACAAGAGAGAAAGTGAAGAAGGATGACAATGATGATGAGGGAGCTCCGACGGAACACACAGCATGAGAGGAACCACAGGGTACCTGCTGAAAACTCTGCCTGCCTTGAGCAACCTATGCACATCACAGAGTATGAAGGCAAGAACTTAGCATAAGGACAGTGCAAGATACATGACCTCAGAGACGGTAGGAAAGGGTACAGAAGGGCCTTAAAAGTGAGCAGTTAATAGTTGTACCACCAACTACAGTACACACACTGTTGTTTGTCTGGGATAGGAAAACCAATTTTTGTCTCTTGATGCCATCAATTCAGCAGCAGCCTGGCTGTAACCATGTTCTAAAAACTAGCACATGGCAACATTACACTGCAAAGCATTAGGAGAAAATATCAGGTGCTTCTAGACAACATGCATGCCTGTGTGCATGTGTATGGAAACAGCATCTGATGGAATTCTGGAATTTTCCCTGGAATTTTTGTAGGTAAGGAGTACTTGCTGCTGACTGGTAGTGTGGTGGTACACAGCACCGTGCCATTCCATCAGCAGAGCCACTGGTGAAACAACAGGAGACTGCTATAACATCAAATACAAGAAGCAAAATCTGATTTTAGGAAACAGAGTGAAAATAGAAGGGGCTACGAGACCCAGGAGCAGGAAGTGTGACAGTGATGACCCCACCTAAGCAATACTTAAGAAGTTACTACGACTGTAAATGTCAGCTGGCTCCCCACTCGGTAAGCCTATGCAGGGCAAGCGGCCTCAGCAGAAGGTAAGAGCTGTGCTGCTCATCAACCCTGGGGCTTTGGACAAACCTGCTGGAGAGACCGTGCCTGTGCTTGGTGCCTGAGGAGCCGCTGCTGCTGCTCTTGCTGCAGGAGTTTCATCTGGAGCAACTGCTGCTGAGGTGTGACTGCGTGGAGGGAGGGCGGCTGCAGCACGGAGCGCCGCTGCAGCATGTTGGACAGGGCCTGCTTCGTGTTGGCTGGGACGAAGGAGCTCGTCGGATCCAGCCTGGAGCCACCTGAAAGCACCCAGAGCACAAACATTCGGCTGCATTCTGTGCAAAAGCTGTCAGTACAGATCGCTGCTAACTCACTGCCTTCCACTTGGTTGGCTCTATCGTAATGATGGTAAGCTCATCTCCGTAAAGGAAGGCAAGGAACTGAACTAAAGCAGTTTTCTGGCTGGAAAAATTAAAAGGGCAAAAGAGCTCTGAAAGCTACCACTTGCAAATGAGAATGGAAAGTAAAAAGGCTATGGGCTGCATCCTCTACATCACACAGAATGTTTGACTGCCTCTGAAAAGCAAAAATTACATGCCAGATCAAAAACATGGTAGGAACAG